TTTGTATTTCCCTGATGAGGAGGGATGCTGAGCATCGTTTCATGTGTCTGTTGGCCATCTGGATGTCCTCTTTGGAGAAGTGTCTGTTCATATCTTCTGCCCATTTTTTCACTGGGTTGTTTGTTTTTTGAGTGTGGTGTTTGGTGAGTTCCTTATAGATTTTGGATATTAACCCTTTATCTGATATGTCATTTGCAACTATCTTTTCCCATTCCGTTGGTTGCCTATTAGTTTTATGGATTGTTTCCTTTGCCGTGCAGAAGTTTTTAATCTTGATGAGGTCCCAATAGTTTATTTTTGCTCTTGATTCTTTTGCTTTTGGGGATGTGTCAAGTAAGACACTGAGGTTTTTGCTGCGGCTGAGGTCAAGGAGGTTGTTTCCTGCTTTCTTCTCTAGGATTTTGACGGTTTCCTGTCTCACATTCAGGTCCTGTATCCATTTTGAGTTTATTTTTGTGTATGGTGTGAGAAAATGATCTAGTTTCAATCTTCTGCATGTTGCTGTCCAGTTATCCCAGCACCATCTGTTAAAGAGGCTGTCTTTTTTTCCATTGGATACTCTTTCCTGCTTTGTCAAAGATTAGTTGGCTGTATACTTTTGGGTCCAACTCTGAGTTCTCAATTCTACTCCATTGGTCTATGTGTCTGTTTTTGTGCCAGTACCATACTGTCTTGATGATGACAGCTTTGTAGTAGAGGCTAAAGTCTGGGATGGTGATGCCTTCCATTTTGGTTTTCTTCTTCAATATTACTTTGGCTATTCGGGGTCTTTTGTGGTTCCATACAAATTTTAGGATAGTTTGTTCTAGTTTTGAGACGTATGCTGGTGCAATTTTGAATGGGATTGCATTGAATGTGTAGATTGCTTTGGGTAGTAATGATATTTTAACTGTATTTATTCTTCCTATCCATGAGCATGGAATGTTTTTCCATTTCTTTGTGTCTTCTTCAATTTCCTTCTTAAGTTTTCTATAGTTTTCATCATAAAGATCTCTTATATCCTTGGTTAGGTTTATTCCTAGGTATTTTATGGTTTTATCCATGTCATTTCAAGTGGCAAGATTTCATCCTTTTTTATGGCTAAATAATATTCCAAAAAAAATAGAAATGAAGGAAAACTTCCAAACTCATTTTGTGAGGCCAGCATTACCTTGATTCCAAAAGCAGAAAAAGACCTCACTAAAAAAGAGAACTACAGACTAATATTCCTAATGAACACGGATGCAAAAATTCTCAACAAGATACTAGCCAACTAGATCCAACAATACATTAAAAGAGTTATTCATCATGATCAAGTGGTATTTATACCTGGGATGCAAGGCTGGTTCAATATCCACAAATCAATCCATGTGATACTTCACATTAATAAAAGAAAGAATAAGAACCACATGATCCTCTCAATAGATGCAGAGAAAGCATTTGACACAATACAGCATCCTTTCTTTATAAAAACCCTCAAGAAGGTAGGGATAAATAAAAGAAGGTAGGGATAAAAGGATCATACCTGAAAATCACAGAAGCCATATACAAAAGACCTAGGAATAAACCTAACCAAAGCGATGAAAAATCTGTACACTGAAAACTATAGAAACTTATGAAAGACATGGAGGAGGACACTTGTGGGGATAAGCACTGAGTGTTATGTGGAAACTAATTTGACAATAAACTATTTGTAAAAAAAAAAAAAAAAAGAAACTTATGAAAGAAATTGAAGAAGACACAAAAAAATGGAAAAATATTCCATGCTCATGGGTTGGAAGAACAAATATTGTTGAAATGTCAATACTACCCAAACCAATCTACATACTCAATGCAATCCCTATCAAAATAACACTAGCATTCTTCACAGAGCTAGAACAAACAGTCCTAAAATTTGTGTGGAACTCAAATAGCCAAAGCAATACTGAAAAAGAAAACCAAAACTGGAGGGATCACAATTCCAGATTTCAAGATGTGTTACAAAGCTGTAATCATCAAGACAGTACGGTACTGGCACAAAAACAGACACTTAGATCAATAGAACAGAAGAGAGAACCCAGAAATGGACTCACAAGCATATGGCCAACTAATCTTTGACAAAGTAGGAAAGAATATCCAATGGAATAAAGACAGTCTTTTCAGCAAATGATGCTGGGAAAACTGGACGGTAACATGCAGAAGAATGAAACTGGACCACTTTCATACACCATACACAAAATAAACTCAAAATGGATGAAAGGCCTAAATGTAAGACAGAAAGCCATCAAAATCCTAGAGGAGAAAGCAGGCAAAAACCTCTTTGACCTTGGCTGCAGCAACTTCTTACTCAACACATCTCTGGAGGCAATGGAAACAAAAGTAAAAATGAACTGTTGGGACCTCATCAAGACAAAAACTTTCTGCAGGGCAAAGAAAACAATCAGCAAAACTGAAAGGCAACTGATGGAATGGGAGAAGATATTTGCAAATCACATATCAGGTAAAGGATTAGTATCCAAAATCTATAAAGAACTTATCTAACTCAACACCCAAAAGACAAATAATCCAATGAAGAAATGGGCAGAAGACATAAATAGACACTTTTCCAAAGAAGATATCCAGATGGGCAAGAGACATATGAAAAAATGCTCAACATCACTCATCACCAGGGAAATACAAATCAAAGCCACAATGAGATACCACCTCCCACCTGTCAGATTAACAACTCAGGCAACAACAAATGTTGGCGAGGATGTGGAGAAAGAGGATCTCTTTCGTGCTGCTGGTGGGAATGCAAACTGGTGTAGCCACTCTGGAAAACAGTATGGAGGTTCCTCAAAAAATTAAAAATAGAACTACCCGATGACTCAGCAATTGTACTACTAGGTATTTAACCAAAGGATACAGGTGTGCTGTTTCGAAGGGGCACATGCACCCCAATGTTTATAGCAGCATTATTGACAGTAGCAAAAGTATGGAAAGGGCCCAAATGTCCATCAAAAATGAATGGACAAAGAAGATGTGGAATATGTACACAATGGAGTATTACTCAGCAATAAAAAAGAATGAAATCTTGCCATTTGCAACAACATGGAGGGAACTAGAGGGTACTATGCTAAGCAAAATTAGTCAGTCAGAGAAGGACAAAAATCATATGACTTCACTCATATGTGGAATTTAAGATACAAAATAGATGAACATAAGGGAAGAGAAGCAAAAATAATATAAAATCAGAGAGGGGGCAAACCATAAGAGACTCTTAAATACAGAGAACAAACTGAGGGTTGCTGGAGGGGTTCTGGGTGGGGGGATGGCTAAATGGGCAAGGGGCATTAAGGGGGGCATTTGTTGAGATGAGCACTGGGTGTTATATGTAGGGGATGAATCACTAGATTCTACTCCTGAAATCGTGATTGCACTAGATGCTAACTAACTAGGATGTAAATTAAAAGCAAACAAAAAACAAAAATAAAGCATGAATGCTCATGGAAAAAAATCAAACAACAACTCAGAACCTTGATCTTTGAATAATGCAGTCCTGTTACAGTAAAACATATTCTTTCTAGTTCTTGAGATTTCATGTTAGTATAAAGAAACTTGAACCAGCCCTTCATGCCAGTCAAGATTCTTGGTGGTCTGCATCCTGATGTTAGTCACCAGCTTCATTTGGGGAGCTCTGGCAAGGAACAAAGAGACAACTCCCTTCCTTTTCTTCAGTCCGGGTTCTTTCAACTCAGCCTTGATACCATCTCACTTATGCTGTTTTTAGCGTGTCAGTCTATATCATCATGTGTACATCTTTATATCATCTTGTCCTGACCTTTTCTTTTCTCTTACCTTTTCCTCGTCTGTTTCTTTTATCATCCTTCTTTATCCCACTAATAACAACAGTAATTATGAAAATGCATTTTCAGTTGTTTAATACCTTGTATCTCAATGTCCTGTGGTTACCTCAATTAAATTATGTTCTAAACATTTTTGTCCACATTCTGCTCCTTTTTCTGTTTCTTCTCCCACCCCTATCTTTATTTTTTCTTTTTTTTTTCTTTTTTTTAAATTTTAATGTTTTATTTATTTCTAGGAGAGAGAGAGACAGTGTGAGCAGGGGAGGGTCAGAGAGAGAGGGAGTCACAGACTGAAACAGGCTCCAGGCTCTGAGCTGGCAGCCAGCCCAGAGCCCGACGCGGGGCTCGAACCCACGAACCGTGAGATCATGACCCAAGCGAAAGTCGGACGCTTAACCGACTAAGCCACCCAGGCGCCCCTCCCACCCCTATCTTTAATGTGTGTGTGTGTGTGTGTGTGTGTGGCGCAATCATATAAGCTATGAACTTCTGCTTCACACCTCTAGTATCTCTCTCTCCTTCAGCTACCACATTCCATCAGCCCTCCGCCTTTATCTCCATGCAGTTCCTTAATACCCTTATCATCTGGACCTCAACAGCAGCCTCTAAATTGCATCTCTGCCCCTGATTTTTCTCTCCCTAGCATGTTTCCTCATTGCTTTCAGAGTAGACTAGTCATTATCTACCTGATAAAGGTTTCCATCCTTCCTCCATCTTTCCTTCATCCTTTCCTTCCCCCCCTTCCTTTATTTATTTATTTTTTAAGAAGGCCCCATGCCCAACATGAAGCTTAAACTCATGACTCTGAGATCAAGAGTTTCATGCTCTACCATTTAAGCCACCAGGTGTCCCAGGGTAAATGTGTCTGAAATACTTACCAATAGTTGGTAGGTGGGTTTGCAGGTCCTGGATTTCATTTTCTTCAAGTCTGAACCCAGTATTTTTTAGAACATTTTTAATGTCACCGACATTAACTCTTCCTCCTTAATAAAAACAAGAAAAAGTACATAAGGGTGTCACACAATGAAAAAATGCAGGCCATCAATGCTACCTAGAAATGAAATGCAGGCTATCAATCCTATCTAGAAATGAAAGCACCAAGAAGCTCTTTAGAGCAAGTTGTATGGGAGTCAGGGACAGAACATGATACCATAACTAAACTTCTGAGAGACATTTATATGAGGGAGAAAAAAATGTAAAGAAGGAGTTTGGCTAATGGTAAATTTAGGCAAGGACAACAATCAAATCATGCTATTCTAGCCAAAAGAATTTGAAACTTACTACAGTAATAAGAAGTTACCTTCTTAATATAATTATACATAAGGAAAAACTAGTTAAGGAGGCAGAATAACTGAAAACAATAGTTTTTATCAAATCAATAAAAAATGAGGATTTACAGAGAGTCAGTGTATACATTTCAGATGAGTTAAATAATAAATAAAGAAAGTGAAATCTTAGGACAACAAGAATAAAATGTATATAATTTTTTATATGCTGTCTAGGTAGTAAATACTTTTGAAATACAAAAAAAGGGAATAAATTACAAAAGGAATGACTGACATAATTAAATACAGAAAATGAAAAACGTCTGTATGTAGAAATACAACATAATGGACAGAGAGTAGATTGTTGGTTGCTTAGGTCTGGGAAGTTTGTAGGGAAGGGAGAGTGACGACTAATGGGTAAAGTATTTTTGGGGGTGATCAAAATGTTCTAAATTGATTTTGGTGATGGTTTAGCAGCTCTGTTAATATACTAAAAACCACTGAATTATTACTTTAAATGGGTGAATTGCATGGTATAAAAATTATATTTCAATAAACTATTATAAAACATATGACATGATAAAGTAAAAATGCAAATAACCCACTGGGAAAGTATTTTCTGAAGCTATGAAAAATGTGTTAATATCTTTAATTTATAAAGAGGTCATTCAAATTAGGAGGAAAAAGCTTGGATTCTGATAGGATAATGAGCAAAAGACAGGAACAAGTAATTAAAAGACCAAAAGACATAATGATATGAAAACAATTTCAACTTCGTTGATAATAAAAAAATAAAAACAATGATTAGATTCCATTTCTTATTTATTAAATTAGCAAGGATTAAAAAAATGTGACAATAAACTATTGTGGCCAGGGCATAATGGTAACCAGTAGTCTTATCCATTCATTTATATCACAGCCTTAAACATGTTAAGACTTATCGGATTTACTAGAAGAATCTATCCAAAGAAACTGACTTAAAGTTGGAAAAAGATCACAATGTGTAAGAGTAAGTCACTAGAGACTATGTAGACAAATGTTCAACAAGAAAAAAAATGATTACGTAAGCTATAAACACAATTTGATGTATAGTCATTAAAAATGATGTTTATTAAAAAAATTTTAGGGGTACCTGGGTGGTCAGTTAGTTGGGCGTCTGACTTCTGTTCAGGTCATGATCTCACAGTTTGTGTGTTTGAGCCCCACATCAGGCTCTGTGCTGACAGCTCGGAGCCTGGAGCCTGCTTCGGATTTTTTGTCTCCCTCTTGCTCTCTGCCCTTCCCCGACTCATGCTCTATCTCTCTCTCTTACTCAAGAATAAACATTTATTTTAAAAAAATTTTTTAATGAAATGGTGGAATTCTTACACTATAATATTAGGATTAAGTGTAGGATACATAAAATATACAATAAGAGTTTAATTATCTATACACACATATACACAGAAAAAAGGATAGAGAACTATAATAAAAAAGGTGAATGTTACCTGGGGATTATGGGTAATTGCATTTTTTTCCATATGCTACTTTATGGATTCCAGATTTTTCTCCAATACCCAACAAAGAGTAGACACTTGGATATTTGTTGAATAAATGCATAATTTCCTGATTATTTATATTATCAGAAAACACAGTTACAACAATCTGATATTTTATTGTCCTTATCCTTTTTATCACTCACCTTTGAAGGACTTCACACCTTCCAGTAATTCTTTCTCAAACACCTTTTTATCAGCTGTAAGATAAAACATAATTGAGAGTTTGGTGATTCACAGAAATTAAGTATTTACTTTCAGGTATGGGAAATGTAGAAATTTATCACAATTCATTCTCAATGAAGTGAAAAGTATTTGGAAAACTCAAAGTATTGATACTCTATCCCCGGACAGAATAGAAGCTATTGTTAGTGGCACTCTAGTTGGCTGGAAAACAAAACAAAACAGAATTTTCTTTCTCAATATCTCCTCACAATTTGGTTTCATCTTTTCTTTTTTCATCTTTCCTGCTCTTCTGCCCTTTCATCTTCTTCCAGCTTAGACCTTAGATTTCCACCAAAGGGACGAAAGAACTTGTTGGTCCTGTGATGAGACCTCTGACTACAGAGGTCCCACTTTCCTAGACCAAAATTTAAATGAAAGAACAGTATGTTTTAAAATGCTAGGATTGTGGGGTGCCTAGGTGGCTCAGTCGGTTAAGCAACGGACTTCAGCTCAGATCATGATCTCACGGTGCGTGGGTTCGAGCCCCATGTCGGGCCCTGTGCTGACAGCTCAGAGCCTGGAGTCTGTTTCAGAGTCTGTGACTCCCTCTCTCTCTGACCCTCCTGTGCTCATGCTGTCTTCTCTCTCTCTCTCTCTCTCAGAAATAAGAATAAAAAAATAAAACGCTAGGATCGAGTCTTTAAAAAAAAGTTTTTTTTTCTTTTTTTAAAATTTTTTTTACAAATACTTTATTGTCAAATTAGTTTCTACATAACACTCAGTGCTCATCCCCAAAGTGCCCTCCTCCATGCCCATCCCCCCACCCCCCCACATCCATCAGTCCTCAGTTTTTGTCAGCATTCAAGAGTCTCTCATGGTTTGCCTCTCTCCCTTTCCCCCACCATTTCCGCCCTTCTTCTCCCCCTTGTTCCTCCGTCAATTGACATAAAAGGTTTCAAATCAGTAGAATTTCTAATACAGAACCTTAAAATAAACCTTCTGTGAAGTTTTGAGGATGTGAGGCGAGCTGGTCACTGCAGACATGGTCTCTGTTTGCCCAGAATTTAGGATAGTGCCATGCACACAACAGATCTTCTTTCTTATTTTTTTTTAAAAACATTTTATTTCTGAGAGAGAGAGAGCATGGAGAGAGGGAGACACAGAATCTGAAACAGGCTCCGGGCTCTGAGCTAGCTGTCAGCACAGAGCCCATCGCAGGGCTCAAACCCATGAACCGTGAGATCATGACCTGAGCCGAAGTCGGACTCTTAACTGACTGGGCCACCCAGGCGCCCCAAAAGATCTTCAATAAATGTTTGTTGAATGAACAAGTTTTTAGATACCAGTAAAGTAGAACTTCAGTGCTTACCAGAAACTGGCAGGGTTTTCAGAAGCTTTTTATGTTCCTTATTTGTGATCTCTAGTCCCATGTTTTTCAGTACATTTTTCATGTCCTTGGTAGGAATCTTCTCTCCTTTAGAAAGACATACATAGACATAAGCAAACATCCTTCCCAGATTCAGCGGGGAAGAACCAGGCATAATCAAGCTTGGTTTAGCTATTCAGAACCAAGGAGGTGAGAATCTAAGAGGATACCTTCAATGATAAGATAATCTTATGTATAATAAGTGAAACAGGGATTGTAGAATTTCTCAGTAATTTACATGTGTTTGATGGGTAATAATTCAACCACTAATATAACATCTGTATTCTTTTTTTAATTTTTTCCCCTCCTCCTCCACACTTTTCTCCTTCTCCTCTGGGCCTCCCTACCCCATTCCCTTTACTCTTCTTTTACCTGAATTATTGGACTAGTTTTAAAAATGACAATAAAAGTGGGTTCTCTATAAAATTTTTCAGTAAATTTATATTTACACTTTTACACTGTAAGCTGGGCATATGAGAATAGGGGGATAGATTCGAAATCACGTATTTAAAAATCTACTGAAGACAAGAAAAAACACAGAAGCCATAAGAACAAGAAATCAGGGAAAAAGTAGGCTAAATTGAAAAGGAATTAAAACAATATCTAGAAATAAAAATGTAGTTATTGAAATTAAAACCCCAATGGGCAAATAGTATGAGACAAATAGCAGAGACAGTGAGCTAGAAGAGAGGTTTAAGAAAAGACAAAAATGTAAAAATAGGGAAAATATGAAAAGAAAGATATGAAGGACAAGTGAGAACGTTCATCATACATGTAATAGGAGTTTCTAAAAATGAGAAAAGAGGAAGAAAAAGAAGTAATATTTGAAACATAAGGGATGAGAGTTTCCAAAAGTTGATGAGAGGCATGAATGTTTAGTTTTAGGAATCATAAATTCTGAGCAGGAAAAATGAAAAGAAGCCCACGCTTGGCTACATGATAATGAGAATTTCAAAGATAGAGATAATCTTAAGAGTTACAAGAGAAAAAGAGATTAACTATAAATAAACAATGAAAACTTATAGTTGATTTTTAACAGCAAAAAGAAAGGTCACAAAACAGTAGATATATGAATCTATCATCTTTCTGTCTAATATTCATATCTATTTTCTTCTTTCTCCTTTTTTCCCATTTAAATTTAAATATGACTATTATTATAGGTTAATTTTACAAGATAGTCTTTAGGTCACAGAATATTCAGATGGAACTGTAGCTAAATTTGAGAATTAACGTAGCCCAGAGATAGTATGAGTATCTCCCAGACATAGACTCCTAGAACTTTGCTTCTTCTAATTCTGGGAAGAGAATGAGAACACCTTCATTTGTATGAAGGGCAGAGCATCTTATTAGGTGGAAACAAAGAGTTGTTTTGTTATATGGAAGTTAAGTTCAAATATATGTAGAAGGGTCCAGAGCTGAGTAGCCAGAGGGGTAGACTATTTCAGCTGTTTAGTTATTATCTCTCAGTGCCAACCTTACCCTTCTAAACTTTGCTTCATAATGCTGAAGCTGGGATTTGGTAGACAACATTTCTGTTTTGCTAGCTGGTTCCATATTAAACTATGCCAATGAGTGGGTGGGGGAAAGGGGAAAAGAGAGAGAGAGAGAGAGAGAGACTGAAAGGCTGTCCAATGAAGTTCCTTCCTATAGTAGTAAATGAATCCAGTTTTCAATTTTTCAACCTCACGGAACCAGTTTCATTACACTTGTCAGAGATACTAGTGGCAAACTTCAGAGTTCTAAGGTAGAATGATAATCTAAAAGTCTAGACATAGTCAAAGCATGAGTCAAGGCTAAGTGTAAAATAAAGATATTTTCAGAGACTAACTCTTTTTCAAATTACTAAGAAGGATGTACTTCAGGAAACTGAACCCAAAAAAGAGTAGAAGTAAAAAGCAATGGTGAACAAAGAGAGTGGTAAGTGTATTTAAGTTTTGCAAAAGATCAGATTTAAATTGCTCTGCCCTTGCTTTCAGTGTACTCACTTGGCCAAAGCTCATTCTTGTTTAAATACAAGTTTGTGCTTACTCCATGCCTGCAGTCAGGTAGCTGAACTAGAGCTGGAGTGAGCTCTGCTGACTGTTCTCGGTGTGAATGGATGATCATGAACCTCAGGTGAGTCCTTAATTTAGTTGGGCAACCACACTACACTTTGCTGGTGTAGTAACTTTCCTTTTCTACTTGCTGACTACTTCATATCTTTTCTTTTCAAACCACCACTTCCTCTTCTTCCATTTGATCATAACTTCTTTTATGTCTTTAATTAAGCAACAACAACAAAGCCTTCCCTTGATGTCACTTTCACCAATTTACTTGCCTCTTTGTTCCACTTCTTTGCTTCCCTTGGCAGCAATATTTCTCAGATATTCACACTGTTTCTACATGCTATCTTCCCGTTTTCTCTTAAACTCACTTTGGTTGGGATTCCTTCCACCCTCACTACCTGAAACTTTTCTTTTTTGTATCGTTAATGGTAGTTGCAATAGCCAAGATATGGAAGCAGCCCGAATGTCCAAAAACTGATGAATGGATAAAGAAGATGAATGGACTATTACTCAGCCATAAAAAAGAAAAAATTTGCCATTTGCAACCATGTGGATAGAGCTAGAATGTATAATGGTAAGCAAAATAAGCCAATCAGAGAAAGACAAATGCCATATGATTTCACTCATATGTGGAATTTAGGGAAACAAAACAGATGAGCACATAGGAGGGGGTGGGGAAAGAGAAGAGAGGGAAACAAACCATGAGACTCTTAGTGAAAGACAACAAACTGAGGGTTGAAATAGGGAGGTGGGTGGGAGAGGGGCTAGATGGGTGATGGGTTTTAAGGAGGACCCTTGTTGTGATGAGCATTGGGTGTTGTAAGTGATGAATCACTGAATTCTACTCCTGAAAGCAATATTGCACTGTATGTTTACTAAGATTTAAATAAAAAATAGTTCTATATAAAACTTTAAGATCACATATATAATCCTCATTGTAACATCTCACTCACCTGTAATATTTTTAACTTCATCCATCAACACATTTACATCAATCTTCCCATTACCTTTAAGATAAAAATGCATCAAAAAGATTTTTAGAAAAGTGATATAAAAATTTTTTTCCCTTAAATAGTTTATGGTCAAGTTGGTTTCCATATAACACCCAGTGCTCATCCCAACAAGTGCCCTCCTCCATGCCCATCACCCCCCTTCCCCTCTCCTCCATTCCCTCAGCCCTCAGTTTGTTCTCAGCATTCAAGAGTCTCTCATGGTTTGCCTCCCTCCCTCTCCCCAACTACTTTTCCCCTTCTTCTCCCACATCCTCCTCCATTAACTTCCTCCTAGTCCACCTATTAAAAATTTTAAATTGTGAAATAGAAACCCCAAATTCAACCATTTTAAGGCATTTCCCCTAGGAGTTTATTATTTTTTCACGTCATCAATTTAAATTAATATAGCTCCTGCATTTTACATGATCAAATTCCACACTGCACAATGCATGAGCAAGGTTTGAAGCACTCTCCCTTCCTTCAAGACAATCTATTATTTATTAGGTTACTCTTTTTCAGGCATGGGTCTGAAATTTTTTGCGAGTTTAAAAATTTTGTTTAAAAATGACATTTCCATTTTGTCAGTGCTGAATTTCCCTTTGGGCTTATTATTGTCTTAGCATCAAGTGATCCCCTTAAAGGACAGAGTGGTGGTATGCATTTCTCTTTTTTTAATGTTTTATCTATTTCTGAGAGAGAGAGAGAGAGAGAGAGAGAGAGAGACAGCGTGAGCAGGGGAGGGTCAGAGAAAGAGGGAGACACAGAATCTGAAGCAGGCTTCAGGCTCTGAGCTGGCTGTCAGCACAGAGCCCGATGTGGGGCTCGAACCCATGAACTGTGAGTGACCGGAGCCAAAGTCGGATGCTCAACAGACTGAGCCACCCAGGCGCCCCGTGGTATGCATTTCTGACTGCTCTAAAGTTGCCAATGAAAGTCACCAGGTTGAGTTATTCAGTTAAATTCCCAGGTATGATGACAAAACTCTTGTGCAGTAGTACTCATTCTCAACTGAAAGACCTTTTCATAGACCATGCACTTAGTTTCTTTAGCTATTTCTCAAGTTCTGAAACTACTAGAAGTCAACAGATACACTGTTAGTAGTTTGTAATATTTCAAGTTTGAGAAACACTGGGTTGGGATGTTAAAAGATGCTATGACTCTAATTGGCAAGATTCAGTTTGGAATCTTAAAGTTGTCTGTGGACCTATTCCAACTCCACTTAAGACTTGGTCAAGGGTGCCAATCCATCACTCCTCAAACATGTTCACACTCTTGTTTTATGTGTAATAATAATCCTAAGATTGCAAATTCCTCAAAGAGTGAGATACCAAGAATCGTTTTGTATTCCTACTATTACCTCGGCATTAGTTTGAGTTTGTGAAAGATGGATGCTCCATAAATGTTTACTAAATAATTAAGTTGCAGTAGAATGCAAACATATTCTAGAGAATGAAGTAGCTTTAAAACCACTATATATTTTAGGTTCTTAGATACGGAGTTTAACCTTGCTTGTTCTTTTCTTTACGTCTTTTCAATTATGATGATCTTTTATTGGTATCCTTTTATAGTTTTATAGCATTGATGATGATGATGATGATGATGATGAACACTATTATATTATGGCTTTTAAACAGGATAAGGAAGAACTTTTATTGGAGAAAAGTCTGATTCTGTAAAGGACAGATCCCATCAGGTCTTTTGTTTTGTGTGTCTCTTAATCAGCTTCACTGAGGCCCACTGGGCCACTGAAACAGTCTTCCATCCTATTTCAGATGGTTTCCACAGATGTACAAGGTAGTCCACAAGAATTAGATTAGAATTAGCCTCACTTTAAATCACTGTGCTAGTATCTTTTCTCATGTTTCAGGATACTAGAAAAACAAGGCAAAGACAAATATCTGCATTTATTGAACTGGTAGGTTAAGAGAGCTATGAAAGGGATTAATTTTTAATACAAAGAAAAAGCCATTTTTGGAAAAACTGATTACCCCTTATTAAGGCAGTTTTCGAGGGTCTAGAACAGTGTCTGACACATTATAGGCATTCAGTTAAAGTTAAAATCAAAGAGTGGAAGGTACTACTGATTTAGAAAAGCCCATATTCATTGACTTGGATCAATCTTATATCTTCACTACTTCCTCAAGGGGACAGGTGTCAAAATTTCATCATGAATTTTTCTCAGTTCTACCAGCATAAGAATAATCTAATTATATGCCAAGTTTAATTAATTCTCTTGAACATTACTATGTATCTTCTTAAATTTCTTAGTTCTAGTAGTTCATGGCAGTATAGCAGAATGGTTGTTTTGAGCAGTTCCTTAGCTGTCATTTCTTCCTGGAATTTCTTAACAGGAGAGTTCTTCCATTTCGTCATTTTGGCTAGCTTTCTGTCTCTTGTTAGTTTTAAAAGCTTGTAATGCATGCTGCACCTGTGAGTGCTGCTGTATTAAAGAAGGCTCATTTACTGTCCAGGGCCTGTCCATTTAGGAAGTGTTCTTTTAATGGTGTCTCTTGGTCTCTCTTTTTGAGACTTTGGTTATTTTATTTCCCTACTCGTAGTGGTATTTGGGGCTCTCCACCATGTGTACTTTGGCTTGTTCCTTGAGGTAGCCCTATAAGGTTGTTTTCTCAGCAGACTCTGTCTCCTTTTCCTCCCAAATTCCTGCAGTTCGGTGTCCTATGGCTTCAGGCCTTCTCTGTTTGAGAGATGGGGGCGAGTGAAATGCACGGAACTCCCTACTTCTCCACCATCTTGCCCCTCCCCACAGAATGGTTGTTAATAGACAATTTCTGGAGCCAGATTGCCAGTCCACCACTTACTAGCTCTATGACTTTACACAAGCTACTTGAGTTTTCTGTGCCTTAGTCTCCTTATATGTAAAATGGGAGTAAAATTTGAACCTGCCTTATAAAGTTGTTAGCGAGATTAAATAAGATGATATATGTAAAGTGCTGAAAATAGTGCCTTACTTACAGGACCATGTAGTGTTGCTTGTTGCTATTTAATGCTGGGTTAGGGGTAGGGACTCAAAGATTAAAATCTTGAGTATTCTCCATTAAACCTTGGCATTCCCTGTGAAGAGTGACACTTGTCATCTATACTGTGCAGCATTCTTGGTGATACTTCCCAAGTGATAGCCATTGGGCTCAGTTTGGTAGTTATGCTAAAGGCCTCACTCTTCTTATTTTCAGATACATCCTATCTTCAGGTATTCCAAGTCTGATACTAGCCTCAAGTCTAAGGTTTGGTTAAGGAGTATATTGACACTCAAAATTCTCACCATCAACTGGTAGGAGGTCCTTCAGTTCCTGGATTTCTTCCTTCTTGAGATCAATTCCCATGTTTTTCAGGAAAGTGTCCACCTTATTTGGAGACACCTTCACCCCTTAGGAAAGAAAGGGATGGGACATGAAAAATATTTGTAATGATGTAAAGAGTGGGTTATTATAGATCATGCCTAGGCATTGATACTACATAGACAATGAAGAGCAAAGAACAATTAAACTATCCACGTAAATGTGGTTTGTTGTTATCTAAGTCAGGAATTCCTAAACCCTGATCTGTGGAATTCTGTTATTACCTTTAGGAAAACATTAAAGAGAAGAAAGTGAGGAATTAAGGGTATTTGTTAAGTCATGACACAGACTAAAATCAGGCTTTATACATGTGTTTTCACAGAAGAATTTGAAACTTGCTAAGTTAATGGACAACTACCAACCCATCCATCCATCCACCTACCCATCCGCCCATCTATCCATTCAGCTAGCCATCCATTGAGCCAGACAGCCAGCCAATCCATGGATTTACTCTATCATAATTCTCTGGGACATTTTTAAGAATATATGCTTCTAGATACTATCTCTGGAAATTCAAGATCATTATGACTGGAAAGAGGCCTAGTGACCTGAACGCTACATTTTCCATCCTCTCCCTGGTAATTTTGATATGCAACTTTATTTGGGAACCACTGCCTTTGGGTTACTGGAATGTGCCTAAAACATATAAAGAATAAACACTGACTTAACAACCCATTGGGACAGCTGGGTTAATAATCTGAAAATTGTAAAATAGGAAGAGTTTTTGAAAATAAGAGCAAAGCTTGATGACCAGTTTTTTCTGCCTTTTCAATATGCTTCTTACTCACCTTTGAGAGACTGTAACTCTTTCATCAGTCTGTTCATATATACCCTTCCTTTGGCTATAAGAAAAGGAAAAGTCAAGTTTCAGGCAGGAATGTTGATATTTAAATATATAATGAAATATACATAAGTTCAGAAATAGAGATTTCTTATATTTTATTCTAGAAATTTAAGTGATTAAAAAAATTTTTTTTTAAATATTTTTATTTATTTCTAGGAGAGAAAGAGGAAGACAGCATGAGCAGGAGAGGGTCAGAGAGAGAGGGAGATACAGACTCTGAAACAGGCTCCAGGCTCTGAGCTGGCAGTCAGCACAGAGCCCGATGCGGGGCTCAAACTCACGAACCGCGAGATCATGACCTAAGCGAAAGTCGGACGCTTAACCGACTAAGCCACCCAGGCGCCCCGAGGGACTAAAAAAAATTTTTAATGTTCATTTATTTTTGAGAGAAGATAGAGACAGAGAGTGAGTGGGAGCAGGGCAGAGAGAGGAGACACAGAATCTGAAGCAGGTTCCAGGCTCTGAGCTGTCAGCACAGAGCCCGATGCAGGGCTTGAACCCATGAACCACCAAATCATGACTTGAGCCGAAATCAAGAGTTGGACATCCAACCTACTAAGCCACCCAGGCACCCCTAGAAATTTATATTATTTCACTTCCAAGAATAAAACTTAGGAGTGGAAACAGCTCTCGATTTGGTGAAATCATTTTGGTGATGGGGGTAGGAGGATAAAACATTCCTTAACTAGGGAGTATTAGTTACTAAAGTCCACATACTCAACTTTCCCTGAAGGCCACTGAGATTTTTCCGCACTGTGATATTTTTAGTGCTCACCATCGACCGGAAGCTTGTTCTGTAGTTCCAGACCTTCTCCTTCTGTGAGTGTTATCCCCATATTTTCCAGTAAAGTTTCCAGGTTACTAGTATCGACCTTCTCACCTTTAAAAATTAAAAGGCAGTAATGGTTGAAAATTTGAAGAATAGTGATCTCATGTTATTTAAAAAAATGCCCATATGGCATTTGTTGATTAAACAATGAAGTAAACCTGACAAGAATGCCAGCTAAGACATCGTCTTAGAGATTTTTGGCTAAGCAATGGTAATCAAATTAAGGCTGGAAGTCTGTGGATGCAAACATTTACGGTATACACGTAGAGAGAATGCATCAATAAGGAAAACAATGCTGTTGAAATGTGGTTTTGTGTAAATGTTAAAATCTTGGTGTTGTAGAGTCTTCTTAATTATCTATCATGGAATCATACAGGGCTTTTCTCCAGGGCCTTCTTTCTTAACCCAGGCTGGCTCCTGTCGTGCCTCAGGGATTTGGTGGGCTTGCTTCCCTCTCTTCTTGGCAGCCACCACCACCAAGTACATTTTTTTGGGTGGTTAGGAAATTAGATGCAGTCTTCCAAGCTCGCCTGTTTTTAGTGTCCCAGGAAAACTAGCACATAGATATTTTTATTCTTAGGGCATTAATGTAAAGTGCTACAGTGAGCCAGACAGAGAACACCAGACTCTCACAGCATGGGTAAGACACAAAGCTAACAAGTTTGTTTGGTAATGGACTCGGTTTTAGTTCTTGGTTAGGAGGGTGGAAATCACCACTTATCCCTGCCCCCTCGTAGCCAGCTCCCAATCTGCTTGTAGGATGTCTGTGTGAAACTCTCCTTCATGATGGCTCTTGCCTTTAGCTTGAAAATCCAGTTGAGCAACAAAAACAACCAAATGGTAATTATGTGAGGCGACGAATGCATTAACTAACCGTACTGTGGTAAACATTCTGAAATACATACGTATATCAAATGATCACATTGCATACCTTAAACTTACATAATGTTATATCAATTATAGCTCAATAAAGCTGGGGAAGAAAGATGCTATTTTAGTGGGCAATTTGCACCTCCTAATCATTTCCAATTCCAGAAAAAGAAAACTCTTGCTTTTAGTCCTCCGGAACCTCCACACTGCAGTGCTGCCATTGTAAGGATAGTAGCTGGGGAGTGAGCCAGTCTTCAGCACAAGTGCCAGGAGGAAACGTGTACAAGGGTTGCTGTCTTCCAGCTGCTTCAGACCTCTTCTGGGAAACCTTGCACCACAGAGCTTCTAAAATTCCCCAAGCAGCCAAGGGAATGATTCTTCAGATACAATAGAGCAATTTCCTAGTCTGTTTACTTGATCATGTTTTTTTTTTAATGTAAAAAAAGTTTTTTTAATGTTTATTTATTTGAGAGAGAGAGAAAGAGAGAGAGTGCACACGCCTGAGCAGGAGAGGGCCGCAGAGAGAAGAAGACACAGAATTCCAAGCAGGCTCCAGGCCCTAAGCTGTCAGCCCAGAGCCTGACGCGTGGGGCCTGAACTCACTATACCACGAGATCATGACCTGGGCTGAAGCCAATGGCTTCACCAATGGAACCGCCCAGGCGCCCCTAACTTGATCACGTTTTGACAGACATGGGCCTTCTGCTAGGTTATCAGTCCAACCACCCCTTTCATGTATCATTACCATTCTTCAAAACATAATCCCACAAAGTTTTCTATACTCTCGAATCTATTCTGTGTTTTTACAACTCTGATTTTTCTTTCCATTGCTAGCTTTCTTTTCACCCTTCCCACAGTGCCTTCTCAGGCTCGTTTTTCATTAAATATGAATTTCTCTATATCTTCAGTCTCTTTATAGACTCTTATTTCCTGTCTTAACTGAACTTTGCCTGTTCTGGATAGATTTTCCTTTTTCCTTCCCTTCCCTTCCTTTGCCCTCCCTTCCCATGCTCTCTCCTCCCCCTCCCTCCCTCTTTCCCTCCTTCTGTCTCCTTTCACTGTCCTTCTTTTCCTTTCTTCCCTTCTTTCCTCCTTCCTTTACTCTCTCCTTCCCTCCTTTCCTCCGTCCCTCCCTTCCTCCCTCCTTCCTTCCTTCTTTTTGAGAGAAAGCTGCTCTTTTTTTTCATAGCCCATTTGCCTTAGGGCTTGCATTCTCCAAGACCCCAATTGCTGCTCTCTGGCCATCCTCAAACCTTTCCTCTTGTGAGAATTATGGTAATTGGCTTTCTTTTTATTGCCCCTTACTGACTTCTTGGTCACTTAAGTAGCTTGTCCCATTACGCAGTCTTCCTGTGCACCCAAACTCCTGGCATCATTATAGGCAAGTCCAGTCTTTATAGAGATAGCTCATTCCGCAACCTCACCTCTCAGTTTCTTGAGCTCCTTAGCCTCAATGATGGCCCCCTAAATCCTATACTAGTTAATCATCAAGGACACATCCTGAACTTTGTTATTACCTGGAAATGCTTTGCCTCTAAAATCTTAAATTCTAGCATACCTACTTTTGCCCAGAACCTTATATTCTTACACTTCTTTTACTTCCTTCCTCCTACCACACCCGTTACAGTTCATTCCCTCCTCTCTTGCTTTCCTCCGAGTTCATGATTTCCATAACTCCACTTCCTCTCCTAGCCACAGTAGACCACTTAACCACTCTCTTGATGACACTCTCAATGTCTTTAGGCTTTCATTCTTTTGGCACATCAGCCTTAAGAATCTCCTACTTTGGGGAGTGCCTGGGTGGCTCAGTTGGTTAAGCGTTTGACTCTGGCTCAGGTCATGATCTCATGATTTATGGGTTCAAGCCCCATGTCAGAGCCTGGAGCCTGCTTCGGATTCTGTGTCTCCCTCTCTCTGCCCCTCCCCACTCGTGCTGTCTCTCTCTGCCTCTCAAAAATAAGTAAACATTAAAAAATAAAAAAAATAAAAAGAATCTCCTACGTTGGTCCAACTGAAGGATATCATAATCATGCGAAAGGTCGCCATTACTTATGATGTCTGACTTTGGTTAGACTCTTCTCAGCAAGGTTTTCATGTATTTCTTATCAACTCTAGTTCTGTTCTCTTATATGAGTTATCCACAATCATTAACACTTTCCTTATAGTCCTCTACCCCACCACTGGGCCCTTTCTTTTAGTAGATGATTCTGTTTCCTACTATACAGAGAAAATGGAAGCTTTTAGGTGAAATCCTCTGAATTTTACTCCCATATCTACCTAGATTCTCTATATTTGTATCCTTCCTGACTTGAGTTCTGCCTGTCTCAGAAAAAGAGGTGGCTTTGGATTCTTACTCACATATTTAACTGCCTAGGGCTTAGCATCTCTTAGACGTTGTATAGGAGCCTCAAACCCAATATGACCAAAATGGAAACTATATCTTTACTTCTAAACTTATTTTACTGAATTACATATTTTGGTCAATGTCACTGTCACCCACCCAGCTGCTTAGCTCAGAAACTGAGGAGTCATCCTTCATTTCATCTTTTTGCTTTATCTCAATAGCTGATCAGTAACCAGATTCTACAGTTTTTATAGCTGTAACATCTCTTCTATGTGCTCCTTCCTCTCAAGTCTCACAGAGAATGATTTACTTCTGCTCTTTATTGTCTTTCGCCTGTACATTTGCAATATGCTTGCTAGCTAGTTTACCTGACTCTATTCTTGTACACACACCTCCATCCATCCTTTATTCTGCTGCTAGAGCAATCTTTCTAATTTACAAATCTAATTACATAGTCCCCTGCTTAAAATCCTGGAATGATTCCCCACTCTGTGCAGAATGAAAGTCATACTCCTTTGCTAGGTATTGAAGGCCCTCTGTGATTTGTCTCTTGTATTCGTTTCCTATTGCTGTAACAAATTACTGAAAGCATGGTGGCCTAAAACAATATCGATTTTTTTCTCTTACAGTTCTGGAGGTCAGAAGCCCAAAATTAGTTCTACTGAGTTAAAGTCAAGGTGTTAGCTGGACTGGCTCCTTTAGGAGGCTCTTGGGAAGAATCCATTCCCTTGCCTTTTCCACTTCTAGAGGCCACTTATACTTCGTAACTTACTCCCCTTCCTCCATCTTCAAATCCAGTAGTGGAGCATCCCACTTCTGCTGTCACATTGCCTTCTACCTTTTCTGTCATCAACTCTCACCTTGCTTCCCTCTTCTAAGGACGCTTGTGATTATATTTAGAACCCAACTGGATAATCAAGGATAACCTCCCCATTTCAAGATTCTTAATCACATCTCCATGGTCCCTTTGTCTATATGAAGGCAACATTCACAAGTTCTGGGGATTAGGACCTGAATGTCTTTGGGACTCATTACTTGGCCCACTGCATCCTGCTCCTTACTCTTTAAGTTTATTCTTTGCCAAACTCCTGACAGCATTTATGCTCTAGTTACTCCAGATTTTTTCTAGTTCCTTAAAGCATCAAACAGTTTCTCATTTTGGTGCCTTTTATTTTATTTTTTCTTCTATCAGGAATGCCCATCCTGCTGTGTCTGGAAAAACTGACTTACAGTTTAAGGATCAGCTCTTGTGCTCACCATTCTATTAAAGCATTTCCCAATTTCTCTTCCTCAGGTGTAAGTGACCATTCTGCCCCTTCTTTACTTTGCATAGGTTTTTAACATTGCACCAATAACATTTTATTGCATTTATTTATATGCTTTTTTCTTGCCCAAGCTACATGAGCTACTGGAAGGTTGGTTTTTATAGATCCACATTTGGGACATAGAGATGTTTACTGATGAGGTAATAAAGATCTAACCCACCTGTAAAAACATTTCCTTCATCCATTACCACATTCACTTCAATCTTCCCCTCATCTGTAAGAGAAGACAGAATTTTATGCATAAAACAATAGTAGAAATAGAAGAAAGACATAAAAGTCATACACTGAAGTACAACACAAAATTCAGCAAATTTTAATGACTTGCTCTAGAATTTTATCCTATTTTCTTATGAAATGGAAAATGTGGAAAGACATAGCTTTGATTATAAAAAAGATACTTAATTTCATACAAAGACATCAGAATTTTTCTTTAAAAAATTTTAAAAATGTTTTATTTATTTCTGAGAGAGAGAGAGAGAGAGACAGTGTGAGCAGAGGAGGGTCAGAGAGAAGGAGACACAGAATCTGAAGCAGGCTCCAGGCTCTGGGCGACCCCAGAATTTTTCTGTTAAGATACACTGAACATGTAAAAAATGGGCTGACATGTAAAAAATAGCCTTCTCTACTTTCAGATCAGGAAGAACTCCATTTTACTCATTATGAGGCTGACAAGCATCGTAAAATTGATAAATAGACTTGAAGCATTAATAATTCCTATTTCTGTACTGAAATAACAGGTGACATTTAGCTATGTTCTTCCACTATCCACACTCAACATGTATTTAAAAAGCTTTGATCGGTCGCCTGGGTGGCTCAGTCGGTTGAGTGTCCGACTTCAGCTCAGGTCATGATATCGCGGTTCATGGGTTTGAGCCACACGTCGGGCTCTGTGCTGACAGCTCAGAGCCTGAAGTCTTCTTTGGATTCTGTGTCTCCCTCTTTCTCTACCCCTCCCCCTCTTGTACTCCGTCTCTCTCTCTCAAAAATAAATAAAACATTAAAAAATTAAAAAACTAAAAAGCTTTGATCAATCTAATTGTATTTTAATAAAATTTTTAAAAAACTTCATTTTGTATTTTCCTCTTAAATGGGGGTATTTAGATGGAACCTCCTGATAGATGGTCAGTGCCTTACAGGACAATGTCTGGTCCTTTCTCATGTATTTCAGTTAGTACCACAGAAGATTTAGGATGGCCTGAGATGGGTCTCTAATGCTTTTTCCTGTGGGCTTACTGACTTGAAAAGGGGTACTCAGGGAGATGGCTGATACTTTTGCAACTGAAGTCACTGCTGTGGCATTCCAGTAAACTTTCAAGATACCTGGAAAATGTGATAGCAAAAAATATCTACATCCTTTCATAGGCAGATCAAAATACTGAGAAATTATATATTTTCAGTAATAAAAAACTATCCTTTGGAAAATTTACTTTCTCTGGCTACAGCAAAGGCATAATTAAGTGGCATTGTGTCAAAATGAATATATACTGGTTGTTATTATTACTACTAATAAAAGCCCTATGCTAGGACCTTACAATGTTTAGGAAAGGTAGCCATTATTTTGTTTTTAACAAAAGGGAACTAAGACTCAGAGGGGTTTATTAGATCAGTCTTGCACAGTTAGGAATTTTCAGTGCTGAGATTCAAAACTGTCTCTTATTCCAACTTCCAAATTCTTTCCACAATGCCATCTAATCAGAGGAACCAGTGGGATTAATCCCAGGTTTTTCCTGTTTTTCCCATGAGAGCTGCTATCTTGGAAACTTTTCCAAGTAGGTCTTGTGGGTCTTGCTATTATGAGTTCATGCTAACATGGGCTAGGTGTGAATGATAGAAAGGAAAATTACTTTCAAAATTATTCTCCATCTTGAACTTGTTTCTGATAGTTCAGAATCTATTCTAGGTAAATATTTTTCTGCCTGTCTTTTAATATTATTTCCTCCTTACTCTATTAGCTTCCTTTCAAACTTTTCTTATTAAATGTTCCCTCCATTCTTTTTTCTGCTTCTTCTTCTTTTGGTCTGCTAATCTCATAAGTGCTGTGACATGTTGCTAAGCTTTGCTGAATCTGTGGATTGGTAACTTCCTAAGTAAAGATGAATTATTAGAGTATCTGTTTCTAACCATATTCATACATATATCTAGTTGAATGTCATGTAGGTATATCTAAAGTCAACATATCTAAAACTGAAACTATTCTCCTGACATTGTAACCTGAACATCTTCCTGAATTCTCCAGTTTGCTTATGATATGACTGATGACCTAGCCACCAAAATGTCTCTGTTTTCTTAAAATTCTTATTTTTCATAATTCACATGTAATCAATTATCAAACCCTATTCCCTTTAATTCTAAAATATTTCCCAAATTAATCTCTTATCTGTCATTAAGTTTACTTCCCTTGCTCAGGCCCTATCATCTCTTGTTGCATCATAGCAATATCTTTGAAATTTGAGTCTTTGCTTCCATTAATGCTTCTTACATTGTCTTCAGTATTGACTTCCCAAAGAGAAATACTCCAGGTATATCACTGCCTATAGGATAAAGTCTAAGACCAAGGAGATAAATAGACAATTCAAGAACAATAGTTGGGACTTCAATATTCCACTCTCAATAAAGGGTTGAACAACTAGATAGAAAAATCGGTAGCATAAAGGAGACCTGAACAATATTATCAACCATGAAACATTCTCTAGGATAGACCATGTCATAAAATAAGTCTCATTCAGTTTAAAAGGACTGAAATCATAAACAAGTATATTCTCTGACTAGGGTGGAATTAATTCAAAATCAACAGCAGGAAGAAATTTGGGATATTCACAAATATTTGAAAATTCAAAAACACATTTTGAAATAACCTATGGACCAAAGATGAAATGTTGGAAATTAGAAAGTATTTCCAACCAAAAATGAAAACAAATCATATTGAGATTTTTGGAATGCAGCTAAAGTAGTGCTTTGAGGAAAATTTATAGTTGTAAATAAAGACCTATATTAGAAAAGAAAAATCTCAAATTAATAATCTAAATTTTTACCTTAAGAATCTAGAAAAATAAGAACAAACTAAATCAAATGTAATCTGAAGGATGGAAATAATAATAGATATTAGAGCTGAAACCAATAAAATGGAAAGCAGAAAACCAGTAGGGAAAATTGATATTGGCTCTTTGAAAAGATTAGTAAAATTGACAAACCTTTAGGTGAACTAACCAAATAAAAAGAGAGAAGACATGGATCAAAATCAGGAGGGATGATATCACCATCAACTCTACATGAATTAAAAGGATTATAAAGGAACACTGTGAACAACTTTGTGTCAACAAATTAAACATGAAATGGACAAAATGCTAGAAAGGTAAAAATTACCTAAACTAACTCAAGAGGATGAAGGCTTAGCTCCATAGACTGGTATAAGGTCTTTCCAGTCTTGGCAGCCTACTCTTCTGGCTATGTTTCCTGTTTCTTTGTAACATGAAGCATATATTCTAGTCACAAAGGAATACTTGCTGCTCTCCTAACATTCATGAATTTGCATGATTTTATGCTTTTGTACACCTTGCTTCTTCATCTGGAATGCCTTTCTCCCTCCTCAGGTTATCTTTGAATTTTCTCATGTAAGTAAGCACTTGCAAGTATAGGCTCTATATGTACTGTACATGCAGCCTGCTAGGGCTGCCTGTGAGTGGGTGCTTGTTTGCTGTGCGTTGTCCCAGCTTCCTTCTCTTTTTCTTTTTATCTTTCTTTTTATTCTTTATATTTTTTTAGAGGGAGAAAGCACACAAGCAGGGGAGGGAGGCAAAGAGAGAGAGAGAGAGAGAGAGAGAGAGAATCCTAAGCAGGCTCCACTCTCCACATAGAGTCTGATGCAGGGCTTGATTCCACCACCCTGGGATCATGACCTGAGCCAAAATGAAGAGTTGAATACTCAACTGACTGAGACACCCAGGCACCCCTCTTTAAAAATTTTTTAATTCCAGGGGCGCTTGGGTAGCTCAGTCAGTTAAGGGGCCGACTGGTTCAGGTCATGATCTCGCGGTTCGTGGGTTTGAGCCCTGTGACCGGCTCTGTGCTGACAGCTAGCTCAGAGCCTGGAGCCTGTTTCAGATTCTGTGTCTCCCTCTCTCTCTGACCCTCCCCTGCTCATGCTTTCTCTTTCTCTCAGAAATAAATAAAACATTAAAAAAATTTTAATTCCAATATAGTTAATGTACAGCTATATTAGTTTCAGGTGTATCGTATAGTGACTCAAGAAGTCTATACGTCACCCAGTGCTCATCACAAGTGCCTTCCTTTATCCCCATGGAAGGCCTTTTTTATTTTTCCTGAGGAATTTCTGTACATCTTCTGACAAGTCTTTCTCTAATTCCCTACCTGGTGAACTTACCTTTTCCCTTCCTTCAGGATTTTACTGAATGCATTTTTAGTATTCTAGCACGACCACAGAGTCGTATGATGACCTGTCAGCATGTGGGCCTCGTTACTACACAGTGAACGCCTAGAGGACAGAGAGCCGTCATCTTCATTTTTATATTCCTAATAGCTTATGTATTTTAGGCACTCAATAAAGTCCACTGCAGGCATGGATGAATTCTTGAGGATTAAGTCCTTTTCTTTTTCTTTTAATGTTTCTGCACACTCTAAATACACCCTCAGAAATTCTCTCAGATGAATGCAAAGTTTCACCGTAGGGGCAGCTCACCATCAGCGGGCAGGTTGCTGAGCAGGTCCAGGTACTCCTCTTCTTCCAGGTCAAAGCCCATATTTTCCATGAAGCATCTTAATTGATTAACATTAAGCTCCACTCCTTAGGGAAAAAAAGGGTGGGAGTGAGAAGGTCAAACAGTACTGATGAAGTGAAAAATTCTAGGCATGGGGCGCCTGGGTGGCTTAGTCGGTTAAGTGTCCGACTTTTGCTTGGGTCACGATCTCGCGGTTCGTGGGTTCGAGCCCCGCGTCGGGCTCTGTGCTGACTGCCAGCTCAGAGCCTGGAGCCTGTTTCANGTGGGTTCGAGCCCCGCGTCGGGCTCTGTGCTGACTGCCAGCTCAGAGCCTGGAGCCTGTTTCAGAGTCTGTGACTCCCTCTCTCTCTGACCCTCCCCTGCTCACGCTGTCTCTCTCTCTCTCTCCTAGAAATAAATTAAAAAAAAAACATTAAAAAAAAAAGAAAAAAATTCTAGGCATGTCCATGCATTAATTAGAAGGACAACAATCAAAGGAACCATAAATTTGTTTCAATGAAAAAAGCTAGCTTGGGAATCAAGGACAGAACCTGCTTTTCATTTTTGTCCAGAGGACTTGACTGTCATGAGACAGTTATGAGGAGAAAAGTGAAGGACAGGCAAGTCTGGTGAAGACAGTGTCTTTCTAATTCTACTCTGGAAATAGGACTTGGAATGACAGAGAGAAAAGTAATTCCTTCAAAGGTAGTTATGTTAAAAGTAGTAAATAATGAGACAAAAATAACAAATAAACAGGTTAGATTGACAAAGTTGTCATTGCCAAAAATAAATGTGGTTTTTAAATCGTAAAACAAAACATAAGGAACCTCAATTTTACCTGATTACTCACTCACCTTTGAGATACCTTATGCTATCCAGCAGCTTATGCTTATACAACTTTCCAGCAGCTGTAAGATAGGGCACAATGCAGTAATTGGTAAGGGAATCTGTTGCAATAATTTTAAACCTAGCAATTTCAGAAAGAACAATTCTTACATAGAGTTTTACTCAATTTTCTTTTCCTGTTTATATCCCAACTTAAGAGTTAGACCAGTGGAAGAAAGCTCTCAAGAGAGTAAATCTGCCCACTTTAAAAAAAAAAATGTTTATTTATTTTTGAGAGAGTGAGAGAGATAGAGCATGAGCAGGGGAGGTGCAGAAAGAGATGGAGTCACAGAATTCAAAGCAGGCTCCAGGCTCTGAACTCAGCACAGAGCCTGATGTGGGGCTCAAACTTACCAGCCGTGAGATCGTGATCTTAGCCTAAGTCTGACATTCAACTGACTGAGCCACCCAGGTGCCCTGTACCCACTTTCTGATTTGACAATTGAAACAGTTACTAGTGGTGCCTTTCCATACTCTCTCATGCCTCTCTTTTCATCTACTTATCATTTTCTACTCTTTTGCTTAAGATCACACATATTAATGCTCATAGGGATAAGAGTAGATAATAGTGGGACTCATGAGTGAAGAGATGCATGATTTCTGAGCTAAAAAACTTGACAACCATGACAAGTCATATTTGAATATTAGTACTGAGCATTTCTTTCTTTTTTTTTTTTTTAGAAGTTGATATCATTTATTTATATATTTGCTGATTTCTTTCTTTTTTTTTTTTTTTACAAACAGTTTATTGTCAAATTAGTTTCCACATAACACTCAGTGCTCATCCCCAAAGTGCCCTCCTCCATGCCCATCCCCCCCTCCCCCCCACATCCATCAGTCCTCAGTTTTTGTCAGCATTCAAGAGTCTCTCATGGTTTGCCTCTCTCCCTTTCCCCCACCATTTCCGCCCTTCTTCTCCCCCTTGTTCCTCCGTCAAGTTCCTCCTAATCCTCCTATACGTGCAAACATATGATATTTGTCCTTCTCTGACTGACTTATTTCGCTCAGCATAACACCCTAGTACTGAGCATTTCTCCATGTATGTATGTATGATTTATTTTACAGTTCGTTCCTCCATTTTCTTTGTTTTCTCTTTTTGGGAATTCTATTATTCAGGTGTTGGACTTGTGGGATTGATTTTCTTATTTTTTTCTCCTATTTTCCATCTCTTTGTCTTTTTGTTCCAATATATTTTTTAAATGTTTTATTTATTTCTGAGAGAGAGAGAGAGCGAGTGAGCGAGCAGGGGAGGGTCAGAGAGAGAGGGAGATACAGAATCTGAAACAGGATCCAGGCTCTGAGCTGGCTGTCAGCACAGAGCCCAATGCAGGGCTCGGACCCATGAACCCTGAGATCATGACCTGAGCCAAAGTTGGACGCTTAACCGACTGAGCCACCCAGGCGCCCCTCCAATATCTAAATTCATCTTCCAGCCCACTGAACCCCTAAATTTTTACTGCTCTTTTTTCCCAAAGTGCTTTTTTCTTTAGTATATGTGCTGCAGAAGCAAGCACAAGAGCTTTTTTCTTTAAAGATAAAGTTTATTTTGGGGGGGGGAGAGAGAGAGAGAGAATATATGCAAGTGAGGGAGGGGCAGAGAGAGAGACTCTCAAGCAGACTCCACATTCAGCACGGAGCCTGACATTTGGCTCTATCTCACCAGCCCTGAGATCATGACCTGAACTGGAATCAAGAGTCAGCCGCTTAACCAACTGTGCCACCCAGGCGCCCCTCTCAAAGAGATGATTTAAAAAAAAAACAAATTTTTAGAGTGCTCTTTTTTAATTAAAACATTTTTTTAATGTTTTTATTTTTTATTTTTGAGAGAGAGAGAGAGAGAGACAGACCAAGTACAAGTAGAGGCAGGGCAGAGAGAGAGGGAGACACAGAATCTGAAGCAGCCTCCAGGCTCCAAGCTGTCAACACAGAGCCTGATGCAGGGCTTGAACTTGTGAACGAGATCATGATCTGAGCTGAAGTCGGATGCTTAACCAACTGTGCCCCCAGGCACCCGATTAAAAATTTTAAAAAATGTTTATTCACTATTGAGAGACAGAGATAGCATGTGAGCCATGAGATCGTGACCTGAGCCGAAGGTGGATGCCTAACTGACTGAGCCGCCCCAGTGCCCCATAGCGTGCTCCTTTTTCATAGTGTGTCATATCTTGTTGCACAGCTTCCTTTTCTTGTCTCACAACTAGGGCTTTTCTCATCTTTCTGAAGATATTAGTTAAAATTGTTTGAATTGTTTTTCTGCTTTTTCCTTTGAGTATACTAGTCCCCCCTTATCTGCAGTTTTGCCTTCTCTGCTTTTAGCTACCTGTCTCAACTGTGGTCTGGAAGCAGATGACCTTCCTTCTGATGTATCATCAGAAGGTCAGTACCAGCCTAATGCTACATCACAATGTTTACATAATTCATTTCACTTCATCTCATCATATAGGCATTTTATCATCTCACATCATCACAAGAAGAGTGAACACAATGCAGTAAGATATTGAGAGACACACAGAGACAGAACACATTAATATAATGTTTATTATGGTATATTTTTTTATAAATGTTCCACTTATTAGTTATTATTGTTAACCTATTATTGTGCCTAATTTATAAATTAAACTTTATCACAGCTATGTTTGTTTAGGGAAAAAAAAGTATATATACAGTTTGGTTCTATCCATGGTTTCTGACATCCACTGGGGGCTTTGAAACATATCCTGTGCATAACAAGGGATTACTGTACTTTCTCCAAGTTCCTTCTTTTCTGATAGCTCTTATTTCTGTCTTTCATGTAATAAATCTTTCTTACAAGTCATATGTTTCTTGGTTGTTTCTATTTAAGAATGAGGTTTTTTTTAATTTAGTAGCACACATGTTATTATCTATCTTTTTATTGCAAGCTGCAGATGTAAGTACCTGAATAAAGGATATTAGAATTCACTGCCAGCATCTAGGCGCCAATGGGAGAGGATGACTTGGGGGCGGGAGAGAACTTCACCATGCTGTATGTTGACTTTCATGTAATTTCCTTGTTTCAGTAGAAGATTGACTCCCAACCTTGGCTGGGTCTGATGTCCGAGAAACTCCCTAGTTTAACCTCTTTGGAGGGTAAATCTCTATACTACATGGATAAGAAATACTTGCTTAACTGTGGAATGAGCAAAGGGATCTGTAGATTTCAGTGCTCTTCTGAAAGTCTTTCGACCATATCTCATACTCCTGGCTTTAAAGGTAACTGGTGTCTCTATTTCCTGAGCTGTTTACAGTTTTGTGACATGAAGTGGCCCTCTTTTTTTTTTTAATATTTTATTTTTAAGTAATCTCTACACCCAGTGTGGGGCTTGAACTCACAACCCTGAGATCAAGAGTTGCATGGTCTACTAATTGAGCCAGCCAGGTATCCCTGAAGTAGTTGTCTTCTTGTTTACTTCTCCTTTCAGGCTCAGTTTTCACCTTTTATGGTCTTTCATGCACTTTGTTTATTGAAGTTTCACTGACACCTCTTATGTGCTATAATGTTCTCATAGTCTTTGTGGAAATATTTAATTTGTTTTAAAATTAAAAGAATTTTTAAAAAAATATTTTTATTTATTTCTAGGAGAGAGAGAGAGAGACAGCGTGAGCAGGGGAGGGTCAGAGAGAGAGGGAGTCACAGACTGAAACAGCCTCCAGGCTCTGAGCTGGCAGTCAGCACAGAGCCTGACGCGGGGCTCGAACCCACAAACCGCGAGATCATGACCTAAGTGAAAGCCGGACGCTTAACCGACTAAGCCACCCAGGCGCCCCTTAAAATTAAAAGAAATTTTAAATTTGTTTCAAAATTAAAAGAACACTTTTACATCTTTTTAGTATTTTAGAAAGTGGTAAAGATAAATGCAAATATTAAAAAAAAGATTGCCATGTTTAGCTAGAAGCCCAAAATATGTATTTCTGTCTTATCTACTCAACTAGATTATGAACTCTTTATGTGCAAAGACTCTGTTTTATTTTGAGCAGTAACATTCTGGCACATATCTTCAAGGTCCTGATTCTAGAAAAATGCCTTAAATATAGAAATCATTTAATAAACATAACTGGAGTTTATTAGAAATAGAAAATACAATAACTAATATCTTTATATTTTATGTATAATTTCTTTCCATAGTTCTATAGCCATTATTTGGTCATCTTCACCACCATCATCATACATAGGCATTGTTATTATCCTATTTCACAGAGAGATTATATATGAATTATTGATCAGATTGAGTCAAGTTCATAAAGTATTTGTCTACATAATGTGAATGTGTACTGTGTATTATATTAGCATGTAATTGTACATGGTTCCCCAAACTTGCCATGGCCAGGTATGCCTCTTTGCCTTTTTCCATACTTTTACTATTAGTTCTTGGTACCTCCTGCCATCAAACCTCTCAGGCCTGTCTGAAGTAATAACCACTCTGTGAAGTCTTAGACACTCCAGGCATAGTTAGTCAATATATCCTTTGTAGTTTCATAGCAGCATAGATATTTATTAAAATTATAGCACACATCACAGCATATAGCATTTGTTTTTGTTTTGTATGTGCTGTCTGCCTCTACACTGAGGGCTTTTAGGACTTGGGCTGTGCCTCATTTATCTTTGTAACCCTTTATAGTATTATGTCTCATACCTTATTTCAACCAATTAACTTTTAGTGAGTGGATGAAGACCTCATTGGTAAATTAAACACTCACCATCAATTGGCAAACTTTTCATCAGCACAGAGTTCTCCTTCAGCCTGAGTCTTAACCCAGTGTTTTTCAGAATATTTTCCAGGTCTTCATAGTTAATTTCTTCCCCTTAAAAAAGAAAATAATGGTAGAAGGTCAAATTTCAAGCTTTAAATCATCATCATCATCATCATCTCAACTACTTTTCTATAGCACCATCCTCAAATATAGGATAAAAAGTAATGGAAACATTAAATGTTGTCTAATTACATAAAACTAGAAGGGAGATCAGAAATAGAACTTCTTTCTGGTAAAATGTTAGGAACAAGGAACTAATACAGCATGCAGAAAGTTGGTATTTTTTTTTTTAATTTTTTTTTAATGTTTTATTTATTTCTAGGAGAGAGAGAGACAGCGTGAGCAGGGGAGGGTCAGAGAGAGAGGGAGTCACAGACTGAAACAGGCTCCAGGCTCTGAGCTGGCAGTCAGCACAGAGCCCGACGCGGGGCCCGAACCCACGAACCGCGAGATCATGACCTAAGCGAAAGTCGGATGCTTAACCGACTAAGCCACCCAGGCGCCCCAGAAAGTTGGTATTTTAACAACCTACTAAATTTACTGGTGTAAATAATTCTGTCAGCACCATGTACCATTTGCTATATTGTTTTATATTTGCCTGAATTTTGAGCTTGTTCATATGGCCATTTTACTGCTATGTGCAATTTGCCTTGGCATTTTGTCATTAGAACAGTAGAAAATAAAATTATATTATTGAAACTCCAAAGAACTTAGGGGTTGTAACTTAGGCATTATACTGTGGCCTTGTGAATAAGATGTAGATAACAATTGATTATAATAATTAATAACATCTAGTTTATAAAGTTGTTTCTTTAATTATGTGTACATTACCAATTAAAAGAGATATAATGAATGGACTGATGTGTCACAGATAGGATAACAGAAAATACTTTAAAATGGATAAAGATTTGGTATATGTACACAATGGAATATTATGCAGCCATCAAAAAGAATGAAATCATGCCATTTGCAATGATATGGATGGAGTTAGAATGTATCATGCTAAGCGAAATAAGTTAGTCAGAGAAGGACAAATACTATATGATTTCACTTATATATGGAATTTTAAGAAGTAAAACATATGGGAAGTGGAAAAAAGACAAGAGAAGGAAACAAACCACAAGAGACTCTTAAAAATTAGAGAATTGAGGGTTGATGGAGGGAGGTGGATGGGAGTTGGGCTAGACAGTGATGGGTATTGAGGGCCCTTGGTGATGAGCACTGAGTGTTGTATGCAAGTGATGAATCACTGAATTCTACTCTTGAAACCAATATTGCATTGTATGCTGACTAAAATTTAAATCAAAAACATAATTGGGATGAAGTAGCCAAGTAGTTAAGGTGATGGACTGCTAAATAAAAAAAGAATTATTTTAATATAGAAAAAAAATAACTTCTTTTGTTAAGTATTAAGAGATTTTTTTTTTAAGTAGGCTCCACCCCCAGTGTGAAGCTTGAACTTACAACCCTGATATCAAGAGTCAGATCCTCTACCGACTAAGCCAGCCAGGTGCCCCAAGAGATTATTTTTATTATGCTTTATCATTACTTCTTTTCACTCACCTAGAAGTTTATGTACTTCATCCAGAAGTTTATCCAGTTTAACTCTCCTTTCATCTACAAGACAAGACGAAATTTAGGTACAGTTCTGCTATGGACTGAAGTGTGTCCCCTCAAATTCCTAGTTTGAAGCCCTAACCTCTGATTTGACTGTTTGGAGCTAAGGTCTTTAGGAGGTAATTAAGGTTATGAGGTCATAGGGTGAGCCCAGCTCTGATAGGACTGTGGCCTTACAGAAAGGGGAAGATAGCTCTTTCTCTTTTTGTCTCTCCATTTCTCCCCCTATATCTCTCCCTGTCTCTCTCCCTCTTTCCTATCTCCCTGCCACATGAAGACACAGTGAGAAGACAGCCCCTGCAAGCATGGAAGAGAATCCCCATCAGAAATGGAATCAGCTGGTACCTTGATCTTGGATTCCCTGCATCAAAAACTGTGAGAAAATAAATTTCTGCTGTGTAAGTCACCCAAACTATGGTATTTTGTTATGGCAGCCTGAGTGGACTAATTCAGGTCCCTATTACATAAAATTCTTAAACTGCAGAGTAAAGTATAAGGATTCAGCAGTTGCCTAAAGTTTTTTTAATTTTTCACACTGTAAAGCATAGGTTGAAAAAAGAACAAAAATCTGAATAAGATAGAGATATCTATTTTACTCATTCTACTTTTTCTTTTTGTGTTCCTCATTCACTGGAATGGAAGAGAAATTCTTTTCATTTTTTTTGTTTTTTTTTAAATATCAGCTTTATTGAGGTCTAATTAACAAATAAAATAGTAATATATTTAAGGTGTACATCATGGGGATTTGATATATGTATACATGAAAGGAATCCCCCATCTAAACGAACACACATATCACCGCTTATATTTGTCTTTTTTTGTGTGTGAGAGAAGATTTAAATTTCAGTCTCTTAGCAAATTTCAATTATATAACCTTGTTTTACATTAGATCCTCTGTCCTTATTCATCTTATAGCTGGGAGTTTGTATCCTATTCCCATTTTGTTAATAATCATTTTCTGCTGTTCCATTAATTCCTTTGATACTTTCTTCTCTTGATTTCTTCCTTTATAATTTGATTATTTACTGCAGTGGTGTGCTAAGATTCCTTTACCTTTCTCATTTGTGTATTTTTTTTAAGAGTTTTTTTTTTTTAATGTTTTTATTTATTTCTAGGAGAGAGAGAGAGACAGTGTGAGCAGGGGAGGGTCAGAGAGAGAGGGAATCACAGACTCCGAAACAGGCTCCAGGCTCTGAGCTGGCAATCAGCACAGAGCCCGACGCGGGGCTCGAACCCATGAACCGCGAGATCATGACCTAAGTGAAAGTCGGACACTTAACCGACTAAGCCACCCAGGCGCCCCTCTCATTTGTGTATTGACTGCAGGTTTTTGCTTTGTGGCTACCAGGAGGTTTACATAAAACATATTTATAATAGTCTATTTTAAGCTTTAAGAACTAAACTAAGAATGCATACAATGGTATAAATTTTTACTCTCCCCTCCGTTTATGTTTTTGTTATCACAACTTACATCCTTTACCTTGTGTATCCATTAACGAATTGTTAACTAAAAATGTATTTCTAGTTATTTTTAATACTTTTGTCTTTTAATGTTCATACTAGATTTAGTAAGTCATATACCCCCTACTATTACATTAGAATACTCTGAAATTAACTGTACATTTACTTTTACCAGTGAGATTTACATTTTCATATGTTTTCCTGTTACCAATTAAGCACCCTCTTGTTTCAGTTTGAAGAAGTTTCTTTAACATTTCTTGCAAGGCTGCTCCAGTGGTGATGGACTCCTTCAGCTTCTGTTTGTCTGGAGAACTATCTCCCTTTCAGTTCTGAAAGACAGCTTTGCCAAGTGAGCATCCCTCATTGGCAACTTATCTTCTCCCACTTTGAATATACAATGTCACTCCTCTCTGACCTGCAAAGTTTCTCCTGAAAAATCTGCTGATAGTCTTATGGGGCTTTCCTTATATATAACAAGTTGTTTTTTTCTTTCTTTCGATATTTAAGATTTCCTCCTTACTTTTAACAGTTTAATATATAATACATCTTAGTGTGGCTAGCTTTGATTTATCTTATTTGGAACTACCTGATTTATCTTATTTGGAACTACCTGAGCTTTCTGAATCTTCATGTCTGCTTCTTTCCTCAGGTTGGGGAAGTTTTCAGGTATTATTTCTTTAAATAGGCTTTGTGTCCTGTTCTCTCTCTCCTCCTTCTGGGATCCCTATAATGCGAGTATTGGTTGACTTCCTGGTGTCCCAGAAATCCCTTAAGCTATTTTCACTCTTTTTCTTTTAGCTCTTTTGTTTGGGTAAATTCCACTGCCCTGTATTTGAGTTTGCTGACTGTTTCTTCCACTTGACTGAGCCTGCTGTTGAACCCCTCTACTGAATTTTTCAGTTGAGTAATTTATTCTTCCGCTTTCTGATTTCTCTTTGGTACTTTCTTATGTTTTCTATCTCTTTGTTGAAATTCTCACTTTGTTTATGCATTGTTCTCTTGACCTCAATGAGCATCTTTATGATCATTATTTTGAACTCTTTATCAGGTAAATCACTTATCTCTATTTCACTGAGGTCTGTTTCTAGACTTTTATCTTGTCCTTTTGTTTGGAACACATTCCTTTGCTTCTTCATTTTCTTTGACTCTGTTGGTTTCTGTACATTATATAAAAGAGCCACTTCTTGTAGTCTTTTTAATTTTTTTTAATTTTAAGTTTTTAATTACAGATAGTTAATAGTGTTAAGGTGTACAGGTGTAAGTTAAGGTGTAAGTTTCAGGTGTACAATATAGTGATTCGGTGTTTCTATATATCACTGTGTGCTCATCACAAGTGCATCTTGATCTTCCCTTACTCCCCTCCCTTCTGGTGATCATTAGTTTGTTCTTTATAATTAAGAGTCTGTTTCTTGCTTTGTCTCTCTCTCTCAAGTTTTTCCCTTTGCTTGTTTGTTTTGTTTCTTAAATTCCATATGAGTGAAATCATATGCTATTTGTTTTGCTCTAACTTATTTTACTTAGCGTTATACTCTCTAGCTCCATCCATGTTGTTGTAAATGGCAAGATTTCATTCTTTTTTATGGCTGAATAATATTATATATATACTATATATATTCCATTATATATATATTATATTCTATTATATGGATATATAGTATATATTGGAATATTAATAAAATATATATAATATATAGTATATAATGGAATATTATATATATTATGTATATATATATAACACATTTTCTTTATTTATTATCAATCAATGTCTTGATAGAGTGGTTTCCTGTAGGAGATAAGCCTTATTTGTTCAGCTTAGTGTGAGCTCCTGATTGTCTTTCAAACCTTTGTGATTATCTAAGCTGTCTTTATTGTTTTCAATGGCTACCAGTAATTGAGGGTGTACCAAGACTTGTCAGTATCCCAAAATGGAGGATCTCAGTCAGCATCTTGATGCAGGCTGATTTTTTCATTTTTTAACTCATCAAATATTTGCTGGATGCCTACTTCTATGCCAGGTTCTATTTTCAGTGCTGGAAATACAAGGCAAACAAGATGAAGTCTCTGCTTCTGTGGCAGCAATTACTGATGTCAAAGCAACCACTGGGTTACGAACAATTTTGGATTGAACAAAAGAGCATTGAATTAAACCAGAAATTTATTTAAAGTGCTCTTACAATCTCTCTGTTCCTTACATTTTTTTTTCGTTTATTATTGTATCTTTGTTTCTTTGGTTATATATATTTTTTTATTTTTTATTTTTTTTTAACAAATAGTTTATTGTCAAGTTGGTTTCCATATAACACCCAGTGCTTATCCCCACAAGTGCCCTCCTCCATGCCCATTTCCCCCCTCCCCCCCCCACATCCATCAGTCCTCAGTTTGTTTTCAGTATTCAAGAGTCTTTCATGGTTTGCCTCTCTTCCTCTCCCCCACTATTTCCCCCTTTCTTCTCCCCCTTGGTCATTCTTTGGTTATATTTTTAAAATTCAGTTCTTGGTAACCTGTTTTGCAGAGCAGAGGCAACAATATTTATTTTGAGACTTTTAGCTAGACTGCCCTCCAGATAACTTAGGGTGGGGCCATATTCCAATTCTAACAGGAGCTTTATAGTCTTGTTTGGCACATATGTTACACACAGAGTTGTGAAAAAGGATTAGTATTAGAAAAGAAATGGGAGATTATTTTTTTGACAAACATTTTGACAACGCTTGATTTCAAGCATGATCAGATCATATTAGACAAACTCAGGTAAACCGATACTTCTTTTTTTTTTTTTTTAATATTTTTACTTATTCTAGGAGAGAGAGAGAGAGAGACAGCGTGAGCAGGGGAGGGTCAGAGAGAGAGGGTGTCACAGACTGAAACAGGCTCCAGGTTCTGAGCTGGCAGTCAGCACAGAGCCCGACGCGGGGCTCGAACCCACAAACCGCGAGATCATGACCTAAGCGAAAGTCGGACGCTTAACCGACTAAGCCACCCAGGCGCCCCAAACCGATACTTCTTAAGATGCTTATCAAACTATTAATCGGTCTACGGAATCATTTCAAGATGCTAAAGATGTTAAGATGCTCAAGATACTGAGAGTTAAATAGAGTGCTTTGATCAAAGGCTATTGCTAAAAATCATGCCAAAAAGGGCTAATCTCAGATAAATATACTAATATATATTTTTCTCTATATCATAAAGGTTAGCTATTTCTACAAAATAACTGTAGCAGGGGTTTAAATCTTATTTAAAATTAAGATTCATAGGCCCCACCCAAGACCTATTTGATCATAGTCTTGAGGAAGCACGTAATTTCTGTGTAAAATTTGATACCTATGAATTAATTTTCGCCTGATTGTTAGGTATATGCTATATATATTTTACAACAGTACAAATAACATTTAACAGCTTCCAGCACTCTTCCCCATTCCTTTTTGTTGCTGTCTGAATTCCCTTATCATTTTCTCTCCCTATCCCTCAAATATACTTTTTTGTTTTGGTTTATTTTTTTTCACTTTTATTTTTTAAAATGTTTATTTCTTTATTTTGAGAGGAGGGAGGGGCAGAGAGAGAGGAAGAGAGAGAATCCCAAGCAGACTCTGCATCATCAGCACAGAGCCCAGCATGGGGATTGATCTCATAAACCACAAGATCATGACCTGAGCCAAAATCAGTTAAGCCAAATGCTTAACTGACTGAGCCACCTAGGTGTCCCTGTTTTGGTTTATTTTATTTTATTTTATTTTATTTTATTTTACATTTATTCATTTTTGAGAAACAGACAGAGTGTGAGTGGGGGAGGGGCAGAGAGAGAGGGAGACACAGGATTTGAAGCAGGCTCTAGGCTCTGAGCTGTCAGCACAGAGTCCGACATGGAGCTTGAACCCACGAATGGCAAGATTATGATCTGAGCTGAAGTCAGTCACTCAAATGACTGAGCCACTCAGGTGCCCCAATATTTTAACTTGTTTGCTTGATCCCAATACTGACTGTCATTTCATTTTAGTATTCTCTGGCACAGGAACTCTGCAAGCAGCAATATAAGCAATTACTTATATTTTATTTAAGATTAATATAGAGACAATATATCTCCATTCTTTAGGATTGGGTTTCTATAAACTTCTGGCTTTTTCCATGAAATTAGTAAGTATGTTTGATATTCCTACAGAAAAACAAAAATTTCCTTACAGAGCACTGTGTACTTGAAATGCTCACCATCAATTGGCAGATGATTGCACAATTCCTCAATTTCTTCCTCTTCAAGTGGGAATCCCATATTTTTAAGAGCATCATCTATTTTATTGACATTAACCTTTCCCCCTAAGGAAAGAAAGAGATAAGAACAAAATAAATTTGTATTTATGCCAAAGAGGGAAAAATGCTTGGTCATATAAATCAAGAGACACAAATAGGAAGTAAAAAGCAATGTTACCATTAAGTTCTTGGAGTGATCAAAAGAATTAGCTAAGGATTAAGAAAAGAAAAATTCTCCCTGTCAATTTTCCAGAAAACATGATCATAGCAATTTTTATGATGAGTTTACCCAGAAGAAAGAAGATCAGGCAAGACTGATGAGTTATAGCAAAGAGACAATCAATACACAAAGTTCTTACTATTAAGTAAGACTTGAAATTTGCTACAATGACACAATAGTGTAGGTTATTTTCCCAAATATGATTGTGTACAACTAAGATGCCAGATCATTAAGAAAAATAGAGAAACATATTTAGTAATCTAATTACTGAGAAATAAGAGATTTTAGAAAAGTAAATGCAAAAGCTTGAAGATGTTTTCTCTTTCTCAGCATGCTTCTCACTCACCTCTGTATGTCTTCACTTCATCCATCAACCTATTTTTATACACCTTATTATTATCTGTAAGATAAGGGTCAAATTGGTTGCTAAGAAGTAGAAACTGAGAAAGACAGTAGTATTCAGTTATTTGTACATTTTTACAAGTTATTACTAGTTATAATCCAAAGAAGAAGGAAGCAAAGAAATGACTAAGATTCTCAAGGTAACTATTTATTCTCTGCATCTGATGTACTGTTGGTAGAACTCTAACATGTTAAAACATATTTTTCTTTTACTTTTTGCTAAGTGTCCCTCCTTTCCCTTCTTCAACTGTTTTATCACCTTTTTCCTATCTTTAACTTTAGACTTGTTTAAGATGCTGGCTCCAACATTTAATTTTTTTAAGTGTTTTTATTTATTTATGAGAGAGAGAGACAGCGTGACCAGGGGAGGGTCAGAGAGAGAGAGGGAGACACAGAATCCGAAGCAGGCTCCCGGCTCTGAGCTGGCTGTTAGCACAGAGCCCGACGTGGGACTCGAACCCAGAAATGGTGAGATCGTGACCTGAGCCGAAGTCAGACGCCTAACCGACTGAGCCACTCAGGTGCCCCTGGCTCCAACACTTAAAAATGTTTGTCCATAACAGTGGTACCCCAAAGAGAATATTACTCCCAAATTAAGATTTAAGGGGTAAGGATAGAATATTTTATATGAGAAGTAGCTCTTTCTATATTTATTTTTCTCCTAACTTTCAAACACTGATTTATAATTGACATACAGCATTGTGAAGTTTAGGGTATACAACATACTGATTTATTTATATTGTAATATGATTGCCATTGTACCATTAGCTAATACCTCTATTACATCAAAAAATTATTTCTTTTTGTGATGGGTAAAATTAAGATCTGGCTACTTAGCAACTTTAATGCTTACAATACAGTTTTGTTTTCTATAATCACCATACTGTATACTAGATCTCTAGGATTTGTTTATCTACTAGTTGTAAGTATGTACCCTTAAACAACATCTCTCCATTCTTCCATCATTCTTCCTACCTCCCAGCTCCTGGTCATCACCATTCCACTGTCTGTTTCTTGAGTTTGTTTGTTTGTTTTTTTAGATTCCACATATATGCGATATCATTCAGTATTTGCCTTTCTCTGCTTTACCTATCTCATGTAGCACAATGTCCTCAAGGTCTACCCATGTTGTTGCAAATGGCAAGATTTTTTCTTTTCTTATGGCTGAACAGTATTCCATTGTATGTAATACACCACATCTTCTTTATTCATTCACTCATTGATAGGCACTTAAGTTGTTTCCATATCATGGCTGCTATAAATAATGCTGCAATAAACATGGGAGTGCATACTTCCCTTTGATAACCTGTTTTCATTTCTCTCAGATATATATCCAGAAGTGGGATTGTATATTGTACTGTAGTTTTTAGTATTTTTGAGAAACCCCCATACTTTTCTCCATAGTGGCCAAACCAGTTTACAATCCCATCAACAGTATACAAGGGTTCCCTTTTTTCCACATCCTCACCAACACTTGTTATCTCTTGTCTTCCTGATGATAGCCATTTTTATAGGTGTGAGGTGGTATCTCATTGTGATTTTGATTTGCACTTCCTTGATGATGAATGATGTTGAGCACCTTTTCATGTACCTGTTGGCCATCTATATGTCTTCTTTGGAAAATGTCTATTTAAATACTCTGCCTTAAAATTTTAATGTTTACTTATTTTTGATAGAGAGAGAGAGAGAGAGAGAAGGGGACAGCAGAGAAAGATAGATAGATACAGAATCTGCAGCAGGCTCCAGGCTGTGAGCTGTCAGCACAAAGTCTGACACGGGCCTCAAACCCACAAACTGTGAGATCATGACATGAGCTGAAGTCGGACGTTTAACTGACTGAGCACCCCTAAATACTCTGCCTCTAAAAAATTTTGATTGTTTTTTGTTAGTGAGTTGTGTGAGTTCCTTATATCGTTTGAATATTGACTTTTTATCCTATACATGGCTTGCAAATGTTTTTTTCCATTCAGTAGGTTACATTTTCGTTTTGTTAATTGTTTCTTTTGCAGTGCAGAAGTGTTATATAGTCCCACTTGTTAAATTTTTTGTTGTTTGTGCTTTTGGTGTCATATCCAAAATATCATCACTAGGATCAGTATCAAGACTTTCTTTCCTATGCGTTCTTCTAGGAATTTTACCAAATTGGGTCTTATGTTTAAGTCTTTGATCCATTTCAAGATATTTTATGTGAGTTGTGTAAGATAGGGGTTAAATTTTTTTTTCTACTCATCTTTTTTTTTCATATTTATTATTATTATTTTTTTACAAATAGTTTATTGTCAAGTTGGTTTCCATATAACACCCGGTGCTCATCCCCACATGTGCCCTCCTCCATGCCCATCTACCCCCTCCCCCTCCACACCCATGGGTTCTCAGTTTGTTCTCAGCATTCAAGAGTCTTTCAAGGTTTGCCTCTCTCCCTTTCCCCCACCATTTCTCCCCCTCTTCTCCCCCTTGTTCCTCCGTCAAGTTCCTCCTAATCCTTCTATACGTGCAAACATATGATATTTGTCCTTTTCTGCCTGACTTTTTTCACTCAGCATAAAACCCTCAAGGTCCATCCATGTTGCTACACATGGCCAGATTTCATTGTTTCTCATTGCCATGTAGTATTCCATGGTATAGATAAACCACATCTTCTTGATCCATTCATCTGTTGATGGACACTTAGGCTCTTTCCATGTTTTAGCTGTTGTGGAGAGTGCTGCTATGAACATTGGGGTACACGTGCTCCTATGCATCAGCATTTCTGTATCCCTTGAGTAAATTCCTAGCAGTGCTATTGCTGGGTCATAGGGGAGTTCTATTGTTAGTTTCCCGAGGAAACTCCACACTGTTTTCCAGAGGGGCTGTACCAGTTTACATTCGATAGAGGTTAAGTTTTAGTTTTCTGCATGTAGTTAGCCAGCTTTCCCAGCATCATTTGTTGAGAAGACAATCATTTCTTCATTGCATGTTCTGGGTACCCTTATCAAATATTAGTTGACTGTATGTATGAGGGTTTCATTCTGGGCCCTCTATTCTATTCTGTTTGTATATGTGTCTATTTTTATGTCAGTACCATACTGTTTTAGTTACCATAACTTTGTAATCTGGAAGTGAGATGCCTCAGATTTTGTTCTTTCTCATGATTGCTTTGGCCATTCAGGATCTTTGTGGTTCTACACAATATTTAGGGTTGTATTTTCTATTTCTGTGAAAAATACCATGGAAATTTTATAAGAATTACAGTGAATCTAGAGACAGCTTTGAGTAGCATGGGACTTTTAATATTAACTCTTGTAATCTACAAACACAGGATGTCCTTCCATTGTTTGTCTTCTCTGATTTCTTTCAACAAAGTCTTGTAGAATTCATTCTACAAATCTTCCACTTTCTTTTCTTTTTTTTTTTATGTTTTATTTATTTCTAGGAGAGAGAGAGAGAGACAGCATGAGCAGGGGAGGGTCAGAGAGAGAGGGAGTCACAGACTGAAACAGGCTCCAGGCTCTGAGCTGGCAGTCAGCACAGAGCCCGACGCGGGGCTCGAACCCACGAACCGCGAGATCATGACCTAAGTGAAAGTCGGACGCTTAACCGACTAAGCCACCCAGGCGCCCCTAATCTTCCACTTTCTTGGTTAAATTTATTCCTAGGTATTTTTATTGTTTGTGATGCTATTGTGAATGGGATAGGTTTCATTCATTCATTCATTCATTTTATTTTTTTAAAGTAAGCTCTATGCCTAACATGGGGCTTGAACTCAAGATTCTGAGATGAAGAGTCACATGCTCTACTGACTGAGCCAGCCAGGCGCTCCTGGGATAAGTTTATTTTTTTTTCAGATGTTTCATTGTTAATGTTTAGAAATGCAACCAATTTGTTTATGTTGATTGTATATCCTGTAGCTTTACAGAATTAGTTGATTATATCCACAGTTGTTTTTTTTTTAATTTTTATGTCTTTATTTTATTTTGAGAGACAGAGACAGAGAATGAGCAGGAGAAGGGCAGAGAGAGAGGGAGACACAGAATCCGCAGCAGGCTCCAGTCTCTGAGCTGTCAGCACAGAGTCCAATGCGGGGCTTGAACCCACGGACTATGAGATCATGACCTGAGCTGATGTTGGACACTTAACCGACTGAGCCACTCAGGGGTCCCTCCACAGTTTTTTTTTGTTTGTTTGTTTTAGTTGAGCCTTTGAGATCTTCAATATATAAAATCATATCATTTGCAATTAGTGACAATTTTACTTCTTCCTTTCTGATTTGGATGTCCTTTCTTTGTCATGCTTGATTGCTTTAGCTAGTATTTCTAGTATTATGTTGAACAAGAATGTTGAGAACGAACACTCCTTTCTTGTTCCTAATCTTTTTTATTTTATCTATCAATCATCTATCTATCTGTCTGTCTATCTATCTATCTATCTATCTATCTATCATCTATCTTGTTCCTAATCTTAAAGAAAAAGCTTTTGTTTTTCCACCTTTGAGTATAATTGCTGTGGGTTTGTTGCCTGTGGTCATTATTATCCTGACGTATATTCCTCTTATACACAATCTGTTGAGGTTTCTATCATGAAAGGATGTTGTATTTGGTCAGATGCTTTTCTGCAACTATTAAGATAATCATATGATTTTTATCTTTCATTCTATTAATTAGCGTGTCACATGTATTGCTCTGTGTATATTGAGCCATATTTGCATTCCAGGGATAAATCTTACTTGGTCATGGTGTATAATCCTTTTAATGAGTTCTTAAATTTGGCATGTTAATATATTGTTGAGAATTTACACAGATGAACACATCTGTGTTCATCAGGGATGTTGGTATACAGTTTTCATTTTTGTAGAAGGATGATGCTGGCCTTGTAGTATGAGTTTGGAAATGTTTTTTCCTCTTCAACCTTTATGGCAGAGTTTGAGGAGTGGCATTAATTCTTTAACATTTTTTTTAACCTTTTTTTTTTTTTTAAGAAAGAGGGCACAAGCAGCAGACAGGGGCAGGGGAGAGAGAGAAC